AGTCATCCACTTGTTCATTATCTATCTATCTATCTATCTATCTATCTATCTATCTATCTATCTCAGTCTGTGTGTCTCATTTGGCTTATGTCTTTATATCTCAGCTTGTTCATATCTATCTACCTTTCTTTCTTTCTATCTATCTATCTATCTATCTATCTATCTGAAGTAACGTTTATCAGCACTGTAATTGGACATTGTGAGCCGAACTCAAATTCACTAGTCTTCGTTTTCGTAGTAATGCCCTTTTGAAAAGCATGTGTAATATTTAGACTAAATAGCTGCAACTACTGGTCACTCTTGTCAGACTCGGAGAAGATTCAGGCTGAATTCAAAATCGTGGCGAAGGTAATGAGTATCCACTCCATTATCTTACGAATATATCATGATAATTCTCAGAAAATAACAGAAAAATGAATCTACGGAGTGTCATGATCACCTCCTTCCTGAAAGGTTTCGTCATTTTACAACAGAAAAAGAAATCTCCTTATGCATTTTTATTTGAGGAGAAGGAGAGAGACAGACAGACAGACAGACAGACAGACAGATTCTATTTCACACTACGAATTCGTATTAACCAACAAACTCTGGTAACATTTGCATGATATATTTTTTTCATCTCACCCCAAACAAAAAAAAGCCATTAAGACACAATAGTTCTACTGTGTATGGAAGAACAGAAGAACAAGGAAATATTAAATCGCAAGAACAAAAGTAGAACATAAATTAAGAAGATAACAGAAGATAACGATTGGCAGTGGATTGACATTTTGAAGATCAAATTTAACCGGAATAATTTCCATAAGACAGAAGTGTGAGAGAAGAAACTCTTAGCAGAGGACTTAGGGTTACGTCTAACCATTGTAATTGGTAAATGATGAGATTTTACTGTCAAACTACAGGGAGTTCCTGAAGACATACAACAATCGGCAGCGTACACTTGTGAAATAGCAACCAGGGAATATTTGCATGACATCATCTTCCGTAATTTGACCAATAAAATTTCTTAATAATATATTGTCACATACTTAAAAATGATTCAATTTGGTAAATAAAATTTACAACGTTATCAATGATAATTTGACTTTTTAAAAACCGTGTAGATTGCGTTTAAGTTCATTTCTAGTTACTCTAGAAGAAAGTTCATCAGAACAATTATCCCGAAAATATTTATAGGAAAGGCACAGGAAAGCTATATTATGTCGACGGGAAAGTGACTGAAGCTGTAATGTCTCTTCAGGATTAATGACATTTCAGATTCTTCCTTGGTTTTTATCATAGATCTCTAAATATTTATATTAATATTAAATATTTGACTGTGCGATATTTAATAATACAGGTCGAGGGGTGTTAATCGTATTGTAAATAATCGATGTAATACATAGTTATTGATATCTATTGATATCTAGAAGGCGAAAAATTTGAACAGAGATCACAGTACGTTCAACATTGGCATCATTCTTCTTCTATGTGCCGCATCCCTTCATGATATCGGTGATCATGGCTCTCCACAACATCCTATTTTATGTAGCCCTTAACTGTTTTTCTCACGTTGCAAAAGCTCTTGCCTCCCGTTCAGCCATTGATTCACAAAAAAGCTCGTCAAGGTCGCTGCTTTCCTCTATCTCTTTGCCCTCAACATGATGCTTAAATTTGTCAAACCCCCTTTCTTCGTTATGTTTTTTTTTTAAATCATTTCGCCCCTAAGAAAGGCGGTAATGCAACTAGAACGTTGTGGGTTACAGAGAGTGAAAGTTAAAAAGAATGAGAAATCTGAGAATAAAAATGATTGAGGGAAGGACAAAAAAAATAAACGAGGTTCAAGAAGATAGAAGATGAGAGTGATGTTGCATTTACATTTTTAAAGATTGTAGTTGTCAGGGAAGCAAGAAATCAGAAAGGAGTTTCACAGTTGGGAAGTACGAGGAAAGATATTGTTAGAGTAGAAAAGACGGTTGCATTTAGCTATTTCAACAGTAAAACGGTGAGACCTTGTTGCCAATCTAGTAACATGCTTAAAGTCATGTATTCGGAGTAGCAGCGTTAAAAGCCCGTTAGAGTAGTTGCCATGAAAATATACGCAGAAAAGACAGAGGGAAGCCACGTCACGTCGATGAGAAAGTGCCTGAAGTCGAGACACCTGGCTAGGATCAATTACATTAGAGATTCTTCGTTCAATTTGGTCATGAATTTCGAGATGTACAGTAGAAGCCCCAGACCAGACATGGTAACACTATAGAATGCACGCACGAATAGTAGATTAATAAATGTGCAAGATGCATTCTGACAGGAAAGATTTTCTGGCATGACACTGTGAACCAACTTTCCTTGGAGTAGACAAAACAATTGATTCCATATAGTAGCTCCACATGGGTACCTCGAGGTAGTGTAATGGTTAGCAAGCTCCTCTCGCTAGAATAATTACGACTGAGTAGTAATTTCGATCCTCACTGGGTGCCCCCTACTTTCGGCCTTGTGCCACAGCTAAGCTACGCTTGGAAAATCACTATAGTAGCTCCATATCATGTCAGTGGAAAATGTGAGGTCAATAAGGCGTACCGTGTTGTTTTCCTGGAGTTAAGCATAAGTCATGCTGACGGCAGTGTCCAAGGAATTTCAGTTGTTTATTTTTCTTGATTCAGAGTCTGTGTTCTTTTTGTTAACATTTTCTTTAGTACCTTATTGCTTACTAGCTCCATCCATTGAATTTTCAGTATCTTTTTATAGAACGATATTTCTGCTGTCTCTAGTTTTCTCCTCAAAAATGGGGAGATTGTCCAAATAGCTGAATAAGTGGATAATTATCCTTTAGCAATCCAGTACTATTTTCTTTGATTCTATCGAAATTTATCCATTTCTCAGAACCATGCTTAGCTTTTAGAAGGCTTCTTTCGCTAGATAAATGCTCGTTCTGATTTCAGTGCTGTATTTTCCATCCAGTGTTTAAACGCTTTCCAGATAATTGAAATCCAGCACCTGCTTGATGTTAACATCTCGAATTTGTAACTCGCATCTTGGGCTGTTTTTTTTTTTTTTCTTGCTGACGATCATTCATTCTTTTTGCAATTGACAATTACTCCTTTCTTCACGCTTTCTTCTGCGACCATCTCTAGAAGCTTGCGTACTTTTTCTTCCGAGTTAGCCATCAACACAGTTTTATATGCATGTCTTATATTGTTAAGATTACGCCCACCGATATTAAATCCTGGTAGGATCACTACAGGGCGCGATGGATAAATTGTCGTCTAAATTACTCAAGAATGGTAATAACACTAACATTCATTTTAACAATTATATTTGCCAAAATTACACAAAGATATCTCGAAATACTAAAAAGTAAATTTAGTCCGTAAAATTACCATTGACTTAAACCACGGCATCCAAACGTCTTCCGAATCTCCTGCAACTCTTCTGGGCGGCCTTCTTGTTTAAGTTGGTGAATGCTACGATAATACTTGCCTTCAGTTTATCTGTGGTGTTACAAGGATTTTTGTTAGTCTCTCGCTCAACTGTGCCCTCCTACGCATAATAATCAAGGGGTTTGCAGTCTGGTGAATTAGGTGGCTACATATAAAGACATTGTCTGATAGCCACGACTGGGTTCTCCTGCTTGTGTGGCATGATTCAGATTTATGTTGCTAGACATGGGGTCTTCCAGGAGCCGCCCCCTTGACTTAGGGCAGCACTACCTCCTCAAAGCACTTGACGTAAGCCTCCGTGTTGTGTCTGAGACCCTGTGGGATGATGATTGGAGGCATAACGTCGCCATCACGAGTGATCACTCCAAACACCTTCGTAATCACCGTTAGACTCATCCAACTCTTTCTAAATTCTCTGCATTGTCTTAAGATTGACACTCAAACACTCTGAAATGTTCGATTTCCAAATTTCTTGCGCGGTAATTTCGCAACATGGTGTTCTTTTCTAAAACCCGGTGCCCAACTGACCCTATTATACTGTGCAATCGACAAAATAAAAAAAAAAAACAAACAAACAAAAAACAGAGAACGCGCGTACGTGAAATTAAAAAAAACATGAAATGGCGACAATTTACAAATCGCATCATCTAGTTCCCTTAAGATATCATCACTGTAGATGTTATCCCGTTTCTAAATAATTTTTGTAGGCACATTTTCTATCCGTATGCACGTGGTTTGCCCCTAGTATTAATTCTTGGTTATCCTAACATATTTATCAAATAGATCGAGTTTTTCGAGCAGTTCAAATAGGTCCTTGTGCTGTACCTTTTCAAATGCCTTAAAAAGAAAATTAATGCGAATGGCTCTAAGACAGTTGCAATAACATTTAAGAATATATAAGAGGCCTAGCAGCATGGCCCGGCGTTGCCGTGCTTGATTAAAAAATCGTACGACTCATACAGCAATCGCTATCACTTGACTTAAAATATTTTTGCCCTTCCTTGCCTTTAAAGGAGTGCCCTTTGTCGTGCTGATGTTGCTAAATGCCTTACTTCTTGCCTATCTCACACTGCGATTTTTTTTATAAGCTCTATACTAAACATTAAATCTGTTACGAAAAAAGAACTAAACAAAATGAACACAAAACGATCAGCTTTATAAACGGACTCGTAACTGGAAAAATCGAATGAAAAAAGAATGTTAACAACAAATACTTTTTCACACCCAACCCAGTTCTGAGGAATCAGAATCAACGTTGAGTTTAAGCAAGCGAATGAGCCAATTGGAGTAAAGTGCTATGCAGATTTAAATTTTTCCCAGTTGTGACGAATGCAACTACCGAATTTTTTTGCATGATAGAATGCTAGTTAATGTTCGTGTCAGTCAGCTGTTGGCTCTCACGCTGGCCAATAGAATATTCCTGCCTAATCGTAGCAGCCAGCTATAGGCTCTCACTCTGGCCAGTAGAAAATGGCCGCAAACTACATGAAAACTGCCGTAGAAGCATGAAAAGATCGATTATTTCCATTATCGATGGGAGTTGGGGAATGCAAAGTAGGTCTTGGCCTTTCCACTAACTTGGAGCAGGTGCATGTAAATTTTGGTGCAAATCCGTCGAAAATTGCGGCCGTACATTCGTTACACACACACACACACACACACACACACACACACACACACACACACACACATCCTGCCTTTTATAGATAGAGATACTAAGCAAGAAAACTGAATTGACATGCAGGAAA